GCCCACCTCTCATGGCACTTGTCCACAGTTTGAGAATCACTGCTTTATACCACTCCTGAAATCACTTCTGCCTGTAAGTATCAGCATACAAGGGCAATTTACAATCATTATTAGGTCATGGGTCTTATCTCCAGAAAAATGTACACACGCACACAAAATCAGATAAAATTTCAGAGTTCACAGATGTGCGGAAGCCTGTTCATTATTTAATAAGCTCTATCCAAGACTATTTTATACAAGTCTCCAGGCCATACCTTTTCTAGATCATATCTGACTAAATGATGTCCGGGTAGGAGAACAACGTTCAGGCAGTGACCACTCCCATTCTGCTCAATAAAGAAGGCACTCTGACTATGCCCTCAGTCTATCAGAGCTTATGCTTGATTTTCAATGAAGAGACATCCACGATTTTAAAAAGACATGCATTTTCTTTCGGTATAACAAAAACTGACAAATTTCCTATAGAAATTTTCCTTTCACCATTTCTTTAGCTTATGCTCTACTGCCACCAAACTGTGTTTTAGGAAAGCTTTTGCTTAAAATACCATTAATTCCTTAGATTTATGGTACATCGAATTTATCCTGAGATAATAAGCCTTACAGACCAGAGATCTTCAAGGTCAAACTATATATTAGTTGTGACATAGTTTTCTTTAAGTGAGCTAGTTTGATTCATGTTAGAGTTTTGATTCATGTTTAAAGTCTCTTAAGAATTTTACTTCTTCTAGACTGAGCAGTGGCAGAGTGGGAGCATGAACTTGGGCTTAAAAGTGGCAGCAACTTTGTTCAGAATCTGGTTTATCACTTATTTGTGTAAGGGTACTGGTGAATTATTTCAACTCTCTGAGTCTTGCCAGTCCCAGCTTTTCTTGCCAGCAAGATAGTAGTGATATCTACCGCACAGGACAACTGAGATTAAATGAACACAAAGGACATCAACCTTCTTTTCACCTAAGTCTAAATTGAATCATCCTCATTTCTTCAACGGTGGCTTATCTGAGCCACAATAACAATTCATATCCATTTACCTTGAGTGATCTACATACCCAATAATTTGCTCCCCAAATGCTTATGTAGGCCTGCCTACTTACTGTCCCTGGGCATAGCAGCCCATCTAGGTACTATTCCTTTCACAGTTTTTAGCTGGGGCACAAAAAGTGTCTCAACCTAAATAAAGGTATTTCAAAGTGCCAAACTTAAAATACCCAGTCCTTAAGCATCACTACTGTATGGCTTCCTTATTCCCCACTCTCATCATTTGTACTCATCGTTTCAAAGTAACTTATTAATATAGAAAGATAGCACATCTACACTCAATCTGACTGATATACTCTGAAATGCATAATGATGGGGGGGGGTGGTAAGAACAAACAACACACACCCTTTTATAATTTACTGTTCACTTAAGTGAAATAGGAGTAAGACATATTATAAAAAAACACACACAAACAACTTCATATATATCTGTATCAGGACCATGTCAGGGTTCAGCAAAGATTAAGTAGCTAAGATACTCTGTACTTAATATTTGTACTCTGGCTTATTTAGAAATAAGAGGAAACTACATTTTGGGTTTAGTGTCAAGCCATAAGGTTCCAGATTTTGTTACAAATTCTTGTAAAACTGCTATTCACTACATATGAATGATAAGAGAAAAAGAAACCTTCTTCCCTAGAAGGCTTAATTCTCAACTTATTTTGAATATGAAAAAGATATCTCTTGGGTAGGACCACGGAAAGAGTCATACTATTCGTCTTTCTAATTTGACAAGTCTTCCCTGTGGGAAGAAGAAAACTTATCTATAAATTCCTACCTATCACTACACCCAATAGAGTGACAATGTGGAATGGAGACCAAAGTGGACCTTCAGTATTACTGACAGTCAGTTGAACTTAACCTTTTGCAGGGGTTGGCATGGAAAGAAAAGAAGCTACGGAAGCTGGCCAAAAAAACAACTCTGTGTACCTTGGGCCATCAACTGTCCTTAAATTTCAGGAACCTGCATTAAACAAACAAAAAATAACCCTTCTCCCTCCCCAAAGAAACCTTCCTATATCATGTACTTATGCAAAGCACAGGCAACCATATCAAAATTTACTCTGGTCCTAGCTGAGGTTCAGCAGCACTGGCTTTGGGCAGTTATTAAATGAATATACTGTTTTAAGTCCCCTTTTCTCTTCTTTTTACTCCATGGCATCAAGGTCATTCTTCTCCTGCTACTGAAATAGCCATAAATGTGCTGACTATACTTTATATGAAGGCAAAGTTAATAAAATAACTAGTAAATCTATTAATAACTGGTCACACACACACAAAAAAAAAGTTAAAGAAAAACTAAGTACTTGTTATAAATCCCAAAAGGACATTTGGTAAAGTTCAATTTTCACTTTCAATCTAAAGAAAAAAAACTCAATAAATTAAAAAAACTCAATAAATTAAAAATAACAAGGTATGTTCATACTGTGGTGAAAACTACTTATCTCAAATAAATGGTTAAAATCACACTTAGGAGTGACTAAAACTCTGGAGGCACCCCTGTCAAATAGGGAGACAGACCCATAAAGAATGAGACAAGGATTCCTGATGGCACTACTTTCTAAACTGTTCTTTAATTCTTAGCCCAGTTATTCTCAAATAGGAAGAGGTGGTGGTGGGAGATCCAATACAATAAAACAGTGAAAAGACACCAAAAAAATTCTTTCCTAAGAGACACAAGAGACTTAGAGATATACCATGCTAATGGTTGAGAACACTCAATGTTATATTGCAGAATGTAAATTTTTCCAGAACAAGTATTTTGAAACACAAATAGATTGGTCAAACTAATTGGGGAAAGTTAGTTCTGTATAATGCACATAAAACACTTAAATACATCAATAAAACATAACAAACAGATATGAATTCACAATCCATAAAACGTTCATTCACTCTATTAATCAAATACAAATTAAAATGAGACAGTTTTTTTTTTTTTTTTATCAAATTGGTAAATGCGCAGAAATAAATACTCAATTCAAGGAAATAGGTACTCATAATCTTTGACTCAGCAGTTCTACTTCTAAGAGCACCAAAGCTATAACCAAAATATTTGTATGAAAAAAATGTTCATCACAGTGTCATAAATAAGGGCACCAAAATGAAAATAATATACACCAGCAGCAGGTTGGTTTAATAAATTTCAAATGCTCATGTATAATGAAATACCATGCAGCCATAAAAAAATTATATTTTCATGACACAGGAAAATATTCATGATAATGGGTATTAAGTTTTAAAACATAACAAACCAATGTATTTTGTGTATATATACATTCACAAGAAGGAAAAGGACTACAAAGAAATACACACTGAGAGGAAATACATCAAATTGTTTTTAGTGAAAATGTCTTGAGTATTGAGATCACATAGAGGATTTACTTTCTTCTGTATGCTTTTCTATTATTTTTCAAATTTCCTTAAGTAGAAATATATTGCTTTTATATTCAGGAAATAAAAAAACGTTATCTCAAAGAGATAGTCTAAATTTTAAATTTCTAGTCTGAATTCTCCAGGGGCTATAAACCCAGAATATGGTTTTAATTAGAGTGATATTTTTAATGAGAACAATAATGTACATAACTGTGAAAAGCATCTGGAATAAATTTTTACTATAATAACCCCATTCTTATATGAAGCACTACAGAATTAGCAACCAATGAGGTAAGGAATAAAATATGGTTCATAATAAAGTAAACATACAAGGGTAGAAAGGAGTAGGTACAAAAAGATCAATGGAAAGGGTCAAAGCTTATCATCCCCAAAAGATTTCTCTTGGACTTAGCTTTTATTCTTAGCTTTGACAGGCGCAAATTTCACACAGTTTACTATACAGTAATTTTATGTTTTGTTCTGTAGGCTCTTTTTTATATATTTATATACACATGTATATACATGTGCATGTATGTGTTTATACAAACAATTTGAATAGCCTTTTAAGTGATCTTTACTATCAAGATGAATAAACTTAACCAGGACTTCAGGAATTTGAATACAAGAGTACACATTTGAAGAAACTGACCTGACAACAATGCATGTAGTTATTATTAGCTATATTTGGAAAATGGCCCTTACATTATTTTAGTGCCAAATAGATGCTGGACTACAGCAAGCAACAAGCAGATGTTTAGCATATTACTTAAATTTAACTTTGGAATAATTTTTTTTAAGAAGCAAATCAACATATCTAAATTAATTATAGCTATTTACTTAAAATGAATCCATTTTATAAAAATTAAACTTACCAAATCAAAAGAAAATTAACAAGAGCCTAACACACCAAACTTAAGGAACATTCAGGATAGAGTACAACCCCCAAATTATTGTTTTTATTAATCATACCATTTTCTGACAGGCCACAACCAAATATAACCCAAAATGTGAAGATCACCATTATCAGAATGAGACTCAGTACCTAAGACTGTAAGTTTATTTAAACATTGACATAGCACAGGTCTACACAAAAATAAGCCGTTTTCTATGATGAAAAAGATTCTGAATCCTCCCCATTTAGAGAACTTTAGTGATTTCTGCAACTAGAAAACCACAAATATGTGTGTCTCCAACATACAATGCTTCAGATTAACTCCCACTCTTCCTTTTCCAGTATTTCCCCCACATTATATCAGGAGGGAAACCTTAATTAGGTAAATAAGAGCCTTTCAGTAACCAACATCCCTTAATTTCCTTTTTTGCAAGGAGGGCGTTCTCAGGGTCCAGGGCAGTCTGCAAATCAACGCAAAGGGTAGCCATCAAGAGGCTCATTGATGTGTTACCAGGGAGCAGCAGGCAGCAAATATTCAAACCCAGAAACTGTGACTCAACATTTCCTATTTGGTGCAACAACTGTGCACAAATGATACACACTGTCAAGAAGGATTCTGCCTGAAGAAGATGTAGAATGAAAGGAGAAGATCGACAGACATGAAGGGAAGGTGTCTGATCAAACTAATATCGGTACTTACGTATCATACCTCTGCAGTGGCGTCACTTTGTTCTTATTCTTATCAACTGAACCCGTGGACAGTTGAAGAAAATTGGGGTTTAATTTATACAATTCTTGAAGTAGTTTCTGTTCATATTCTTGGTGTTTACCCGCCTAATGAAAGAAGAAATAAAAACTGCAGTGGGGCTCATAAAATGGCTGCTAAAAATTAATAACTTTCCAAATTATTAAAGAAATCCTCAATAAAACATGTAAAAGTTTTTCATGGCTTTAGAGAACCTTGTGAGGATGATGCCACAGAACCACTAGACCAATGAAAGTTCTTCCAACAAAACTATGTGATACGTATACCATTAATTAAGGCATTTCATCAACCGCTTTATTGTGCAAAAAAGCTTATTAATAGTCAACTTTTTTGCTACCTCAAAAAACTAGAGTCCCTTTTAAACCTATTTCCCCATCTTTCATCTATGAATGAAGTCTTCTAACAGGCCGTTACAGAACTTTCCGAATATCACCAAAAGTAATTAATCTAACTTTTTAAAAGAGACTAAAAACTATACAGAGGTCTGGGTGGCTCAGCTGGTTCAGCATCTGACACTTGATTGCAGCTCAGGTCATGATATCACAGTTCGAATTCAAACCTTGCGTCAGGCTCTGAGCTGAGAGCACGGAGCCCTGCTCCTTATTATATCTCTCCCTCTCCCTCTCTCTGCCCCTCCCCCACTTAAGCTCTCACTCTCTCCCTCTCAAAAAAAAAAAAAAAATTAACATTTAAAAACAACAAAAAATCCAAAAACAAACAAACAAAAAAAACAAAATAATCAGACTAACACTGTGAATAATACACAGATGAAAAGTCTTATTACATTTTTCATTATCTTGACACTAAGTACAAATTCCATTAATTTGTTTTTACATAAAAATTAATATATTTTAAATTCCAGACTAGTTTGGAGTTTTATAAATAAAATTTTACTGGAACAGTCATGTTCATTTATTTACTTGCTGTCTATGGTTGCTTTCTGCTATAACAGAAGAATTGACTATTTGCTACAGAGACCATTTGGCCCAGAAAGCCTAAAATATTTACTGACTGGCCCTTTACAGAAAAAGTCTGCAGATCACTGCTCTATACACAAAAAAGAGAAATCTGTATTTACTGTAGTCAGTAGCAGTATATCAGAAGGCAATGTCACAAACATTATGGGAGCAATTAGGCAAAGACTATTTCTGGAAAACTAGTCCAACACAAAAATAAATCCCAATGAAATTATTCTGAATAACTTTCTACTATTTGTATGTATATTACAACTGAAACGACATTTTTACTTACCTTCAAGGATTGTTTACTTATCTTAAAAGTGTGGTCTAACTAGATGTTATGGGAAAACCAAATCCAGAACAGGACAGATCAAAACAGAAACAAAACAATAAAAACAAGCAAGGGCAATATCATCTAATCGATGATGATTCGAGTATGACTGTATCATATATACTGCACAACTTATCATTCCCTATTCTTTTTTTTTAATGTTTAGCTATTTATTTTGAGAAAGAGAGAGTGAGAGAGAGAGAGAAAGCGCATGCGTGGGGGAGGGGGCTGAGAAAGGGAGAGAGAAAATCTGAAGCAGGCACCACGCTTTCAGGACGGAGCCTAATGCGGGGCTTGATCTCACAAACCATGAGCTCATGACCTGAGCCAAAATCAAGAGTCAGACGCTCAAACAACTGAGCCATCCAGGCGCCCCACATCGTTCCCTGTTCTGAGAGGCGCTCCTGCCTGTTTCAAATGGATCTACAAATGTTTCATACAGCACTAAAGTTTGAGATATGCAGTAACAAGGAAAGAGCTGATGTTTACTGTGATATAATCTGTTCAAATTTCCTTTGTATATAGAGGAAGTGTTTTAATAAAGAAACCTCCTTTCAAATTAATTAATTTTAAACTCACATAAAGAAAAACAGATGAGTTCATCACAACAGTGAATTTTAAATTGTTAAGAAAAAATACAGTCAGATGTGGATTTTACATCTTTAAAACGTGAAAAGCCTTGAAATTTTTTTCTACAATCAATACTTCGGGAGATATTCTGGCTTTTATTAGCAACTAAAAGCTGAAACTAATATTCAAATGATTCTACAGGGGTAGTCCAGAGAGACAGGTTAAATCCCATTACAAGTAAGTTCCAAGGGGCCACCTATCCATTTTCATTTATAACTCAATAATACTCAAAAAAGAGATCAAGTAGGGCTTAGAAACTCTTTAGACAGAGATTTTCATTGTAATAGTAGCATGAGTAGTGCATATTCTCTACTTGTCAAAACTAGTTTGAAGTGGTTCAACCTTAAATTTTATCCAAGAAGGTTTTATTCAAAGAAAGAAAACAAATTAAGAAGCATTTATTAGATAAGAAGTCATCTGTCCCCATTAAATATCACAGAGACCTTATTTTAACACTGTTTTGGGATCATCAAGAAATACTATCAAGACATACCAATGAATTGATTACAATGAGACTTAATCTGTAGTAACTCCAAGTCAAAAAAAAAAAAAGTATTTCATTTTATTTAACAATCTGCTCTTAAAGGCGACCCTACTAGACTTTCTCCAGCTTGACCTAGAGAATCAAAGTTGGCAATCAATGCTGCCCCCACCTCCTAAATGAGAAGGGTGTTCCTGCAAAAGTCCACAGCAACAATCTGAAGACCTCAGCTACAATAGGGAAATGCAGCATTGTGCTTTGGTATAATCCTCATTTAATATGCATGTGGTCAACATTTTTACTTGTAAAGGCCTGTTTATACAACAAATTGAAAGGAGACTAGAGGACAGAAAATATAAAAAAGAACATGGGATAATAAACCTTCAACTCATGACACTGATTCAATGTACACTTTCATGGGGAGAATCATTTTATAAAAGTGTTACCTTATCAGCAACATTCGATAGGTTTATTATTATCTAGCATGTTCTATAGAGTGGAAATTAGCAAGGAAAAACCTCATAATTACAGTAACCCACTTAGTTTTCATTTTGCTGATATTCCCACTAAAGTAGCATTTACCAAAATGCCTTCGTTCGCCAATTAAGTTCTGAATGTACATTCCCTTCCTGGATATGTATTAGCACATTAAAGACTCTGAGAAGTCCTGTAAGAAAGAAACCTATTTATCTTCATTCACACTTAATGGACTACCAACCCATCTTTATTACAACAATAATTCTGTAGAACTGATATTCCATGGAACACTGGAAAATGCTACTTTAATAACAATTAAAAAAATAGAATTCCTAGTTTTTGCTTTTGTAATTTTAACTTATAAAGAAAAATACTCCCTTTTCCGCAAAGTTTATAATTCACATTAATTTACTACCTGCATTTCCTCTTTTGTGAAGCTGGCCGCCTCATCCCCCAATTCATGTAGATACATGCAGTCAGGCTTCGGACACTGCATATTCTTTAAGAAGTAACTGCAGTATTTTGTTGTACCTAGAGATGCCTGTAGGAGAGTTGGGGAGGGGGAAAAATGACCCAAAATGTGAATTGACACAATGAAGATTTCCATCTTTGGTGTTTTCACTTCACCTAAAATGAGGCATCGATGTAACCAAAACAATAAGTAAGGCTCTGAATACTGGAGAACTAAACTATTACTAAGCAGAATTTATTAAAAATGATGCTCATTTGGAAGAACTAAAGAACCACCCCCCCCGCCCCCCGCCCAAGTCTATGGTTTCCAGAATCTGAGTACCCAAATCTTCCCTAGGGATCAGAAGACAAGATACACAAAATCTGTTCCACGTTATAGTAACTTCTTGCAAGTAACTGTACTTGCTCATTAAGAAGGCAAATTCTTTTTTCTAGTTATGCCAGCCATTTCCCACTTAAATAAAGCATGGCTCAGTGGGACCCCTTATTCAAACCTGAACTGTTCAATATTCAAATATTTAAGGACAACAAATCAGAACCATTTTCTGTCATAAGTATCACAGATCCTATTTTCACAAAATAAGATTATGTGTAATTACAGAAGATTTTTAAAGATTATCACCTAAAAATGAATGTGTTTATTCCTACCTGGTAAAACAAGACCCTACACATAATCTGGCAGTAAACAAATGAGCTGTCATAAATTAGTATGGATACTTAAGAAGCAATCTTCAAATACACCCCCCTCAAATGTAATAGGTAAATCCTAGCCTCTCCTCTATTTACTACATTGTACCTCTTCCCCCTTAAAAAAACATCAAGAGGAACATATTACCTTAAGTGTTCTGCCATCTACTACCACATTGTTGACACACTGTATGGCTCTGAGAGCATCTTCTGACCGGATATAGGTTACATAAGCACTGGCGCTTGGACCCTAAAGTGAAAACACACTGTTACCGAAGTTTCAAATTCAACAAAAACTTTAACAATTCCTTTGCACCCTGCCTAGGGAATTCTGAAGGTCTTTACTACTACTATCATTAATAATAATGACAATAATTAGAAGTAGTAGTAAGTCTGATTAAACCATATACTAGTTTATCTTAAAACAACCATACTTAATGAATTTTATCTGATTTTAAGTATACTAAAATATATATGGATAAAATACCATCCCTGGCTTGGTATTTATATTTTTAAAGTCATTTGACAGGCTAGTCAAGGTTACAATAAGCTTTGAAAGTTAGATTTAAAAAAATAAGGGGCGCCTCGGTGGCGCAGTCGGTTAAGCGTCCGACTTCAGCCAGGTCACGATCTCGCGGTCCGTGAGTTCGAGCCCCGCGTCAGGCTCTGGGCTGATGGCTCAGAGCCTGGAGCCTGTTTCAGATTCTGTGTCTCCCTCTCTCTCTCTGCCCCTCCCCCATTCATGCTCTGTCTCTCTCTGTCCCAAAAATAAATAAAACGTTGAAAAAAAAAAAATAAGATCTGAAGATTTGTCAAATTATGTTCTCCCCAAAATAAAAGCAATTTGCTAGAGTATTCTATCTGCTAATACCAGCATAACAAAGATGCTCTACTAAGTTTTCAATAGTTGAAAATATTAATTAGAAACCATCACCTTATTATCGCAATGCCTGATAACAGACTCAACTCCCCCTCCTCCCCAAACGAACACTAAACTTTGTTTGACTATTTCCCTCTTATTATCAATTCACTGTTAAGTCCTGAAGAGTCAAATGAGCATGAGAAATTCCCCCACCCCACCAACAGAGGTCACTACACTGCTTAAATCCTTGACCCTCAGGCTTTGTAATTAAAGCTGAATTTTCCTTCTGAACAGCCCAGGTCAAGCCCAGACCATAGGGAGGAAAGGCAAAAATCCCTATAATGAGTTACCTGTGAGCCTGCATATGATGTGCTATTATTGATGACAACTTTATGTATTTTACCAAACTTCCCAAAATATTCTGGTCGTTTTAAAACCTATAAAAGAAGAAGAAATAAAGTATAATGTGTCCCCATTTTCATCAGTGTTATCCTTATAATGGGGACATAACCATCCCTCTTCAGTGAAAGGAAAATAGTTTTTAAAGTTTTCTAATAAATGTGACTATTTCCTAATTTACAATTTGTGTGGTTAACCTATAGGATATTATCAACAGAGTGTAAAAGCTATTTTTTATTGACCCACTATATGGAAACTGAGACTCACTAAATTTGGTATTACCCACCATGTTCTAGTATCTGCACCAATAATCAGTGAAATCTTACCTTCACAGTATTCTTAAACACCCAAACAATCAAACATCTTAACCACATTTTCATTAATAGATGATCCTTATAAAAAAGTAATTCTCAAAACAATGACCAAATAATTATGTATTAAACACAGACAGAAACTCAAGAACAGACATATAAGTAGAGACAGCTTTACTCATAAATCTATTGTATATAATATTTGATACATTAAAGTTACAAATTGCAAATACGGTAACAATGTTCCTCAACCTTCTAAGCTTAATGATGTATCACTGTATGTGTGTACGTATTCTCTTTGTGTTGATTTTGCGGTTTCTTGATTATCTCCTCTGTGTGTGTGCGTTTTTTTCCCTACTCTTTGCCCAGTAAACAACATATACGGGGTGATGGAAACAAATTTATTCATTTCTCTATTACCCAGTTACTTCTTTGTAGTTATTCCCCCTTATACCTGTGCCACCTCCTTTACTCCTTTCATTTTACTTTACTTACAGACTTACTTGACCTGTGTTAATTTGACCAATATGTAACCTGATATAAAACTTCTCCCATAATTTCCAACTACTTTAAAATTAAATTTGGTTCTTTTCCTAGAATTTATCTATAGACCTACTGTTCTTACACCCTCTACAAACAGCAAGCTCTCTCTCAAGGAAGTTTTCTGTGTGTACCTGTCCAAGTGTGTGCCAAGTATTCTTTCCAAACACTCTTAATTTGGTAACATTCTCACATACTTACAACTCAGCTAATGTGTTCTGTATGATAGAATCAAGACTTTGTGAAATAGTGTATGGCTGAGGTATCATAAATTCCTAACAGTTTTCAACTTAATTAACAATTATTTTTTACCACATTTTACTTTAGGTTCTTACAAGTATAGGGCTGTTATGTTTTCTATAGCCAATTTTAATGGATTATGAGATGATACTTTTGGTTTTCAATCTTTTTTCCACCAAATCCCCTAATATATGAAACTATTAAGTGGTGAAGGCAATGGCCCTGAGGCTTTACACGGCAAAGTCCCAGGGCTGAGGAGCAGGGGGAAGAGTTTATTTTGAAAAGCTTCCTCGCTGGTGGAGTGTAGAACTGTATTCACTATTCCAGCTGGATGGATACCAACTCAGTGAAAGGCTCCACAGCCAACATACCTGCTTCAAAGGTTCAGGCTGGTCAGTTTATGCTACATCAGCATCTCAAATCACATCTGAGTTTATGGTAGTAGCTCTCAATGAAGGCAGCATTCAAGAGAGCATTTAAAAATCCGTGGGAGCTTTTCTTGGGGGAGGTTGTCAAAATGAATGGGAGGCAATACTTATGTTCAGTGCATGAGAACCAGGAATGGCTTACCAGGCTTGGGCTAGCCCTGCAAAATGAAGAACTGTCCTGCACAATTGCTGAATGTCCTATAAGACATTAATGTAGCTGAGAAGCCTAGGTATAATTAAGTGAACCCAGAAACAAACTCCACATTATACATAAACTCAAAGTAGTTCCCTACAATTTTGACATATGTTGAATTTACAGGAAAGCAAATAATATGTAATTCAGGGAAAACTACAAGTGCTTTATTCAGAATTATACTAAGAGTTGTTTCGGAAAAATCACATCATTGGCATTTCATGGTACCTGAGTTGCCAATACAGATACCTGTAACAATCTGCACTGTGGGTGTCACATTCACAGTGATTCTACAAAAAATGTAAGTATTCCACTATTTTATTGTATACTTAACAATAGTATGTCCCAAACCTGAATATGCATATAAATCATCCAAGGATCTGGTAAAATTGTGTATTTGGATTCAGTAGCTCTGGGGCAGGGCCCGAGTTTACATAATAAGGACCCAGGTGATACTAATGCTACCAGCCCAGAAGCTGCACCTTGAACAGCAAGGTCCTAGAGTAGGGGTACCCAAGCTTTACATGTAGAAATAGTATTGTATAATTATTTTCCTCTTAATACTTTTATTTCTTTACTTCATGAAAGTCAAGGAGTGTTATAAAATATTTTTTAAAAAATGGTTACTGGTTCGGATAAGAAAACCACTGGCTTATGGAAATAGTTTCTGGCCAATATTTGGCTACAAGACCTTCAATACAACATAAGATTTCTGTATAACTACACTGACATGTCACATTGGAGCCAGAATGATTATTTCCAAAGCACAGATCTAGCCATGTCACTCTGTTCTTAAGAACATTCAACAGGTTTCCACAGCCTTTAGGATAAAGTGCAAACTCCTTGGCGTGGTTAAAAACCCCTCATAATCTGTTACTACTTACCTCGCCAGCCTCATCTCTCACCACTGCACTCTAATCTTCCAGCCAAACAAATCACTTGCAGACTGAGATCTTTCTCATCCAGAAGCATTTGTATAGTTCCTGTGCCTGAAGCACTTTACCCCAAAGACAGCAGAAGAGTACATACCTCGCCAGCAAGATCGGGTGCTCTCTCTTGTGCCTCCATAGCCCTCAGTACTACTCATATTACAGTAACTGTTAGCTTGAAACTAAGCAGGGACCACGTCTGTATTGGTGTATACTCAGTGTCTTATACACTGCCCAGCGCATGGTACCCCATAAATGCTTATTGAAAACGGAACAATTTTAACACTGAACAAAAAGAATTACATGGATAAAGAACACCGATGGGCCTCAGAGTATTAGCAAATGGCCCTATGGCTGATAAGAAATGGCTTGCCCAGGCAAGGGAAATTTAAATAATTTAAACTTTCTATATTAAGTTAAATATTCTAGATTCTGGGGCGCCTGGGTGGCGCAGTCGGTTAAGCGTCCGACTTCAGCCAGGTCACGATCTCACGGTCCGGGAGCTCGAGCCCCGCGTCAGGCTCTGGGCTGGTGGCTCGGAGCCTGGAGCCTGTTTCCGATTCTGTGTCTCCCTCTCTCTCTGCCCCTCCCCTGTTCATGCTCTGCCTCTCTCTGTCCCAAAAATAAATAAAAAACGTTGAAAAAAAAAATATTCTAGATTCTGTCTAAAGATACAACTAGCAAAACAGTATTCTAGTGAATAAAAAGTATGGGGAATAGGCAGAATACCCTACATATCACATTATCCGTATATTCAATGTCATATATTTACTTCACAGTGAGCCAGCTTTAATACTAATATAGAATATAAAAGGCTACACGACAGGGGCGCCTGGGTGGCTCAGTCAAGTGTTCGACTTCGGCTCAGGTCATGATCTCAGGGTTTGTGGGTTCGAGCCCCGCATCGGGCTCTGTGTTGACAGCTCAGAGCCCAGAGCCTGCGTCAGATTGTGTGTGTGTGTGTGTGTGTCTGTTCCTCTTCCCCCACTTGCTCTCTGTCTCTCTCTCTCAAAAATAAATAAACATTAAAAAAAAAAAAAAGACTACATGACAGAATTATAAATGTCCAATGGCATGCCAAATGTTTAAAAATGTCTTCCTCTAGGGGCGCCTGATGGCTCAGGTGGTTAAGTGTCCGACTTCGGCTTAGGTCAGGATCTCATGACTCATGAGCTTGAGCCCCGCATCGGGCCCTGTGCTGACAGCTAAGGGCCTGAAGCCTGCTTCAGACTCTGTCTCCCTCTCTCTCTGCCCCTCTCCTGCTCTCACTCTGTCTCTTTCTCAGAAATAAACATTAAAAAAAATTTTTTTAATAATAAATAAACGGTCTCCCTGTATATTCTTTGGGAACACAGTCAAGTTTTCATGGGCACTACAGAGAAAATCAAAACCTCAGTAAACAGACAGAAGGATGAATGACCAGAGAAATGGATGGACAACAGACCAATGATCAGTGTAAAACACTAGAATAGGACCTTTAAGACCAGGGGATTAGAAGTGGGGGCAGGTGGGGATGGGGGTGGGGGGTGGGTCCTAATCCCGGCTCTGCTATGAAACAGCTGTGTGATCTTAGGCAAGTCACTTAACTTCTCTATGCCTCAACTTCTCATTTGTAAAATAACATGGTTCTGTCTTTAAAGTCTTTTAGTTCCTCAAACAAGCTACTCTCTCAGACCACCACATACCTGGGACACACACTTGTCCTTATCTGCGGCCTAGGGAATCCCTAGTAATTCTTAATTATCCTTCCCTCAGGAAGGCTTTTTGTGGATATCTATAGTAGCCAAGTCCCCTATTGTTATATGTTCCCCCAAAACTCTGTACTTCTCTGTCTATAAATGCTTAGCACAGTTACAAGTACTTAAATTCTGTCTTCCCAACAGTTATTAATTACGAGTAGAGACTGGGGTGCCTGGATGGCTCAGTTGGTTGAGCATCTGACTTAAGCTCAGGTCATGATCTCACAGCTCGTGAGTTCAAGTCCCACATCGGGCTCTGTGCTGACAGCTCAGAGCCTGGAGCCTGCTTTGGATTCTGTGACCCCCTCCCTCTCTCTGCCCCTCCCCTGCTCATGCTCTGTCTCTCTGTCTCTCAAAAAATAAATAAATGTTAAGAAAAAAAAAGAGTAGAGACTGTGTCTGGCTTGCTGAACTACTTTATCTACAACATCAAAGTATCTAAAACAGGGTAAAAATTCAGAAGTTAATTTAGAAAATGAACGAATTAGGTTCCAGCAAATCCAAAATTTTAGCATTTAGAAGATAATTACCTCTAATCACTACCTCTAACTATATACCATAACTTCTAAAATAGTTTTTTTTTCTATTTATCAATAAGTGAATACATTTGACAATCAATCGTGGTATTAAGTTTTTTGAGGCAAAAAATTATTTTCAAAATAATCTTGAATTTTTCCTAAACTCTCCTGTTAATCAGAATCCAGTCAAATACAGGGTGCCTGGGTGGCTCAGTTGGTTAAGCATGCAACTTTGGCTCAGGTCATGATCTTGCGGTTTGTGAGTTTAAGCCCCGTGTCAGGCTCTGTGCTGACAGCTCAGAGCCTGGAGCCTGCTTTGGAGTCTGTGTGTCCCTCTCTCTCTCTGCCCCTTTCTTACTTGTGCTGTCTCTGTCTCTCAGAAATAAATAAACATTTAAAAAAAATTAAATTAAAAAAAAAATTCAGTCACACACCAAATTGTTCATCATCCAAAAATAACAGGGAGCTCCTTTAACCTGAAAGTTACCACTAGCAATTTGAAACTTCAAGTTTTCTAATAAAGCTGACTTTAAGTTTTCCAAATGGAAAAGATTATACACACAAATTAAGAGGATGTGTTAAGATATTATTGTTTAGAAATGGTAGGATTGAGTAAATAAAACAGTGGTCTCTGGTCTTCCTAGGGTTTCAAGTGAAATAAATGAGAGAAACCAATGTTTAAAAAAATTCAGGGTCTTCTCACCAAGAACACTGATTTCAAAATATAAAACCAGTAAAGTGATTTTTTTTTTTAAGGCACATTTAGATTCATGATAAGGTGTCCTCTCTCACTAGTCACCACCTAGATTAATTTCTTTCTGTGTAACAGTTCTTCAGATTAACGTTACTGGAGTTATGTTTTGAAGTGGAAATAAGAAATCTCTGTAAGTAAATAGAAACAAATCACAGAATACAAAGAGGAGGCAGAAAACCTATAATCCAAACAACAGACTGAGACTATGGCTTAATTTTAGCCAGCTTTCGGGCATTGCTCCCTATGTGCCTCCAGTATTATAGGTGACAGGACCCAGGATGTATTAACACAGTCAAGTACATGCATATCCAAGATTTGTCAAATCAAAATAAAAGTTCCATTCATTTACTGGAATACCAGTTTCAGAAAGCACAAGTAGACTCTAATCAGTAAGATCAGTAGGAGTAAACAGAGACAGATAAAGTAAAAAACTTGCAGAGGCAAGAAGGGCCCTTTTTTCTAGTTAGAAAAAAGACAAGAGTTGAAAGGCGAAGACAGAAGGACTGGTGCAAAGTTGGAGTGGTGTTCAAGAAAATGGTCACAAGTGAAGTGGGATTCTGCCTGCCTGAGGAATTAAAAAGAAAAAAGAAAGAACTGGCTGTTGAGGTTGAGCCACAGACCTGAAATGAGCTCTCATCCTTAAGAGCCATTGCTGAAAAGTCCTTTCCTGTGGAATTCTAGACCAACCCCATTGGTTTTGCAAAGAACCTGGTCTCCTGAAGGACTCATGCAACCCACTAATGCCAGCATCCCTGGACTTCGGTCCAAGTAATTCTGGAGTTGCCTCTATGTTTATTGCCAATGAGAAAAGCCTTCTTGGTAAGGTCTCTCTGACTTTCTCTTCTACTGATCTCGAAGCCCTTCACAACCTCAATTACACAGTAAACTTAATGTTTACACTCGTTAAATTTCATTCTTCTTGGGCCATTAGCCCACTTAGCCAAGTGTGAAGATTCCCACCTCCCTAAGCATATTCACTATAACCTTCCCTCTTAATGGATACCACGAGGAATACTACTCCAAATTCTTCTCGAGGGGTACCTTTGGCAGAGCCCCCAAATCCAATTCTCTCCTACTCAAGTAAACACTCTGGCTGTGAATCAGCTTCTATCTGCCCTCCCATCAATCTAGTCAGCACCTCCTAATACATCAGAAACGAAAACTTAGCAGATATACTTCCAAGGGTATCAGGGAAAGTTATGAGCTCAGTGTTACTCTTACAGCACTGGTGGTGAAAGGAGAAAAAAGAGGTAATAAACAGAGGGGGTAATAAGGTCTGCTCTGCCTCCAAACACACACCACAGAACCCGGTCCATTATTTTCCTTCATCAAATTCTCCCTCTTTCCCCAAACTTGGCTTGAAATGAATGAATAAAGAATGATGGTACAGCGTAGCAGTAGTTCTCTAACTCTTCTATAAGCAAGAATTACTACTTGGGCAGGATTAAAAAAATACAGCTCTCTAGTGGGTTCACGTAGCTGCATGCCCAGGACGATCCTTACACAGCTACAGAAAAGAGGAAAGAAACAGAGTAGTCATGTCACATGCTAGCCATATAGCAGTATAAAACAATTATCCAACTTTCACAGATTATTAGCACTAAAGGAGATTTTAGAGATTTAGCTCAACCACCTCGTTTTACAACTAAAGAAAAGGAGGCCAAGAAAGATAAAGACACTTGTCTAAGATCACAACTGGCCATTGGTTGCTTAGAGAGAATTAAAAAATCATTTCCCATTCTCTCCTAAGTTTTAATAATTTCAGGGAAATCCTGGAAATAGGCAAGGTCAGCTGTTATTCCCAAATAAGATAAGCAAAAAAGAAAAAAATGTCAAGTTGAGAAAGAAAACACAAGAGGGCTTACCTCAGGGTCTGCTAGGCGCTGAGACAGACCTACAACAAAGACGAGGTTTTTTTGTACAACACGTACACTAGCCAAATGTTTGCGATTTTCTGATATTTTCTGTTTTCTCTCATTCTGTTTCTGTTTTTTCTCATTCTTTATCCTCTGCAATTCTTCCTGGGAGAGTGGTTTATAAACTGCTGGGTCTTCTGGATATGGCTTTAAGCACAAAACAAAGAAGTTAGTATTAAATATGGAAAGACATAAGGTATATACATAAACAATGATCAAATTCTGGATGATGGGTATGTGGTTATTTGTTACATCTCCCTTTTTCTCAGTCTTCTTTTTTTTTTTAAGTTTATTTATTTATTTTGAGAGAGCAAGAGAGAGAAAGAAAGTGCAAACAGGGAAGGGACAGAGAGAGGGAGAGACAGAATCCCAAGCAGACTCTTCGCTGTCAGATGTGGGGGTTGGACTCATAAGATGTGAGATCATGACCTCAGCCGAGATCAAGAATAGGATGCTTAACGGACTGAGCCATGCAGGGGCCCCTCTCAATCTTTCAATTGCTTCAAGTATTATTTATTTAATAAATTTAAAATTATACAAGTTTTTTTTTTTTAATTTTTTTTGCAACATTTATTTATTTTTGCGACAGAGAGAGACAGAGCATGAACGGGGGAGGGGCAGAGAGAGAGGGAGACACAGAATCGGAAACAGGCTCCAGGCTCTGAGCCATCAGCCCAGAGCCCGACGCGGGGCTCGAACTCACGGACCGCGAGATCATGACCTGGCTGAAGTCGGACGCTTAACCGACTGCGCCACCCAGGCGCCCCAAAATTATACAAGTTTTTAAAAAATATTTATCTTTTTAGAGCTTAGCACAGACTATTTTTAGCACTAAACTTAAAATACTCCAGAATTACAAAGGTTCTACAATTTAAAAAAACACAACGGTGGTATTCCGTATAGTGTCCAGCAGAGTTGACAGGAAAAATCAAACATCTAAGGTGCTGTGGAAGAGGCAAAGAGTAGAAGTTACCTCATGTAAACTTGGCTTTATATACTATTTTCAATAAGCACTTAATGAAAACCTACTATGTGTTAGAAGATTAACGAAGTGCTTATTCTTCAATTCATTCTTAGAGGAAGATAAACGGGCAAATAAACAACAATCTGTAGGTTCTCTGGTTCAGGAGTTTGACTTTAGTTTCAACACTTAATAGCCATGTGGACTTAAGCAAGTCAATTAAATTCTATGTCTCAGTATCCTCACAAGCTGAAAATAATCTTAAAGGTGGGGGTAAAGATAAAATAAAGCAATTATTGGGGTGCCTGGGTGACTCAGTCAGTTAAGCGTCTGACTTAGCTCAGGTCACAATCTCTGAGCTCGTGAGTTTGAACCCCGCGCGTCAGGCTCTGCACTGACAGCTCAGTCTGGAGCTTGCTTCTGATTCTGTGTCTCCCTCTTGCTGTCACTCCCTGTTTGTGCTCCGTCTCTCTGTCTCAAAAATAAACAAACATGAAAAAAAATTCACAAAAAAATAAAGCAATTATTATCATGACTGGCACATAGTAATCCCTCAATAAATACTAGCAATTCCAATGTTGTAATTTTTTCCTTTTTTGTCATTATAATATTGTTTTCATTGCTACTGTTAATGCCAAAGCTAACGGTTGTCTGAATAAGAGCTGTGAACTCACACTGCCTGGCTTTGAATCTTGGCTCCTCTTTACCATCTGAGAGACCTTGGCTAATTTATGTGACCTGCCTGCCTCAGTCATCCTTTCTGTAAAATAGGAATCACAGGACTTTATTAAGAGGGTTTCTGTAAGAGTTACAAAAGGAAATACATTAAAGTGATTAAGACTGTGTCCTATACATAAGCATTCAATAAATCGGTTATTATTACTACTAATAAAAAATAGTTAATAAATAGAAGACAGGACACATTAAATACAATCATATCTAAATGTGGATACCCAGAGATCCCAGAAATAGGAAATTGTGCCTATCAGAATACAGGAGTGGGGGCTAACAGAAATGATGACCTCCACGAAAAAAGTAGGAACAAGGTACAGTGGAGAGAGTATCCAAAAGCTTGAAACCCTGCTATGCTTTTAACATAAAGGTACTTTTCATCTTTTCCTATGTAAGTAAAACACAAAAACAAATAAAACCCCTCAAATTTGTGAACACACTCAGATTAATGCTGAAGGCAATTGAGAAAGTGAGACTTTTCTTTACGTTCCTCGGCTTCTACTGATAATATCATAAGGTCTCCAAAAACCCTGTTCTTCAATCTTCAGACATTCTTAGTGGTCCTGCAGGATCTAAGCACCCATACCATTTGATTCCCACATTTAAAAATCTGAATCTTCCAGCTAATTGGTCCTATGTGACATACTCTAACTTCCTTGCGAGTGGGAGGCAAATAAAACAGCTGACTTGGTAATCCATGACCCGAAGTCTGTCTCTAGGATGAAATATAAAGCTAGTAGTGCACATTTTAGGAGCTCAATAAATATTTGCCAAATGAACACCAATCTACTCTCTAAAACTGAAAAGTTAGCAATGCTAATTTTCCTTTTTAAAAAGTCTTAACTTTTCTAGAGGTTTCACAAAAAGTAGGAGAAGCATGCATCCCGTGAGCGCTGCTCCACCACACACACACCACCGTAAATACCTCCTCAGCAAACCCAGGGACAGGAAACTTAACAAGCTGGTACAAAGAGTGGAGGAAGAGAGGTGGACTAACAATGAGACAGAGACACATAATCTGAATAACTGCAGAGAGTGTGACCTACAAAGCGAGCAACGATAGTACTGAAAATGATCATAAAGAAAAACACATCTGGTCTACTTTTTGACTGAAACACATACACTAAACTTAATTTTCTAGAAATATAGCATCAGATGAAAAATTATAAGCAGGGGAGCTTTCTTTAAATATATTATTATATGTATCAAAGGAGTGTGAAGTATGTCACCTATGGAAAAGCAGTTTTAATGTGTAAAACATTTTTAATAGTGTTAATTTGATGATAAACTGCCAAACTATTAAGGTGGTTTATAATATAAATCACTTATTTTCTAATATAATATAATATAATATAATATAATCACTAACATATCACTTATTTTCTTTCATCTGTGTAGTTATGGTCCCACTTCTATTTCTAATGTATCTTTATGTCTCTTCTCTTTATTTTCTGATCTGACCTGCCAAGAATTTGATTATTTTATTGGTCTTTCAGAGAACCAGCTCTAACTTTTATTGAAATATTACTTTTTTCTATTTTACCAAATTCTGCTGAATCCCTGTGCTTCCACTATCACAATGTTTAATACTCTCTTTTGGTTTCTTAACCTGCAATAAGCTCACTCATTTTTGTTCTGTTTTCCAATAAATGTATTTACAGCTTTAACTTTGCCTCCTGCTAGAAATGATGTAACCTACCATATAAAGCTTTATTGTTTAACCAATATCTTAAAAATGATAAATGATCTGCAGTGAGAAGTCCCAAGCCAATTTCTGTATAAAAGTCAAAATCCAGAGAGGTAAGTGTAAAGTCTTTGTAACAACACATGGGGAAAGAGGGACAGCATTCAAAGCCCAGGGCCAGACCAAGATGAAGACTCTTTGGGGAGATCATCTCCATGTTAAGCTGAGACCCAGGCCTGTTAGTTTCAGGATAAGAACAAACTACAGAGAAGTCAGAACAAGATAAACAAAACAAAACAAAACAAAAGGGGCATAGAAGAAAATCAGTTGTTGAAGGAGAAGTTGTTGAAACCAATCTTAGGAAGATTTGCATCCTGGAGACTTAAGGTCTTTATACTTGGCCCCACCAAAGACCATTATGCTTGAGGCATCCCTAATGGCAATGTTCACAGTATCCAGCAGAAGCCAAATCAAAGTCTCTCTAGAGGAGGGTAAATCTACCTTGGACCCTGGAGAACCCTACAAATAATTCAATGACAACAACCAGAAAGCAGGCAGGCATAGATAATCAAGCACATAAAGAAAACAACATGAACAACCACCAGTAGAAACATTCCTCACAGACTTTAGTGGAATTACTGGATACAGATTTAAAAATAATGCTTATCTGTTTAAATAAATATATGATAAACTTGAAAGTATGTGCAGGGTATAAAAATCTATTTAAGATATATCAAGCATGAAAAAAGAACAAACATTACTTCTAGAAGGGCAAAATTTTAGAATTCAATAGACATATTTAGCAAAAGATGACCAAAAACAATTCAAACACAATATGAAAGATCAGAAGAAATAATCCATTAATGCATTAAGGAAAGAAAAAAAAAAAAACCAAACAAACAAAAAAACGAACAAAAAGCCAGAAAGGAAATTAAGAGACATGGAAGGTAGTAAAAAAAAAAATCTGAAAAATATTTAATCAGAGTCCCAGAAGAAGAAAGAGAATAAAGACAATATCTGAAGAGATAACTGATTTTTTTTTTCCCCAGAACTAATGAAACTCACCAAGGTACAGATTTAAGAAGCCCTATAAACCCCAAGCAGGATGAATAAAAAGAAATACACAACTGAGTTCTTCTTTTTGGAACTGGTTAATATATCCACTGTGGCCTAAGAGTCAATTTTTGTGTTCACTACACTTGTATTTTAAAGTTTTATACTAATTTGGAGTGCCTGGTTGGCTCAGTTGGAAGTATGTGCCTCTTGATCTCGGAGTCATGAGTTTGAGCCCCATGTTGGGTGTAGAGAAAGTAAATTAGTAATTACAAATAAATAAATTAAAATAAAATAGGGGTGGTGCCTGGGTGGCTCAGTTGGTTAAGTGTCTGCCTTTGGCTCAGGTCACGATCTCATGGTTTGTGAGTTTGAGCTCAGCATCAGGCTGTCTGCTCTCAACACAGAGCCTGCTTCACATCCTCTGTCCTCCTACCCCCACCCCCTGCTCCTCTCCCACTTGCCCGCTCTGTCTCTCAAAATAAACTTTAAATAAATAAAGTTTTGTGCTAATTTGCACAAAGTTGGATGCATGTACAAACACACATATGCTTGCTAATTGTGTCATTCAATATTTTCCATTTCCCTTTATTTGGTCTACTTCATCTATCAAATTCTAAAATATAGAAGTTAGAAGTCTCTCCTTTATGAAAGTGGATATAGTTTCTCCTGGTATTTATATCAGCTCAATATACTTCCATGATCTACTGTTAAATA